TGGTATGTTAAATGAATCCGATTGGATTTTAGCTTTGAAAGTTAAACGATTTTTGACATCTTTTTATGAGATCACAAAGATTTTATCCGGCGTTTATTATCCCACAAGTTGTATGGTGATTGAACGCCTTTATAAAATTGCAAGAACATTCCATAAATATAAAAATGATCCTGCCTTTAGTGAAATTATAATTGCTATGAATTTAAAGTTTAGAAAATATTGGGAAGACTGCCTATATTATTTTTTTTAGTATGCGCAATGGACCCCCGATATAATATTTCGGGAACTAAATACGTAATTGATCAAATCAATAAAGTTTTAATACTTGATACACCTATCACCTATAAGAATTTAGAGCAAATATTATGTGGAATGTATGATTTATATGTGGAAAGAATGGGTGCGAATCTTAGTCAGGTACCCTTTGCGCATACTCCTTCTGCTGAAATTGAAGAAGATGATGTCAAAATAATGAATTTATTTTAAGACATTAATACATTTAAATATGATGCAACTGCAAAGTGTTCATCTAATGCCATGTCGTCTACATTTGCATCTCATCAAATATCGATCGAAACTCAAAATGCAACGCCTCCCGAATTAATTGATTACTCCAATCATAATATACCAACAGACAGAACAATTAAAAAAAGTTCAGAAGAAGTAATTGAATTCTAGTGAAAGTATGAAAGACTTTGGCCAATTATTTTTGCAATTGTGAAAGATCTGCTGACACCTCCGGTTAGTACTGTTGTTTCAGAGTCTGCTTTTAGTGCAAGTAAAAGGGTTTTGATCGATGTCAGGAGCTAACTGAAAGAAGATGTTTTGAAAGCGTTAATGTGCGTGAAGGATTGGCAGGACGCTCATTTTCGACTACAAGATAAATACGCTGAAATTGCGTGTCGTCAGGTAAGTGATATTTAATTTAATTATATTAATCAAAATTTCATTATTTTTTAATCGTTAAATTTAATTTTCTTTGAAAAATTGTACACGTTACAACAAGTTGTTCGTATACAATTTTTAACTTCGCCTACTTAAAATTGATGTAGTCAGTTACAAGCTCGGATAAAAAAAGAGGGTTTACATTTTATTTACTTTAAAAAGAAATTAAAAAAAATATTTTTTGTAAATGTATTTTAAAAAATAATTCTTCATTGTATAAATATTTTATACTTTATAAAAAATATTACAATATGATATAAATAAAAAAAATAAAAAAGTGTCTTAATTAAATTATTTATATTTTTTAACACTTTTTATTTTTTCTAAAAGTGTTTTCATTACATTATTTCATTTATTTGTGTTTTTCTCTTTAAAAAAAAAGGGACGAGCCCACGAGCCAAAACTCGGCTCGGCCCACGAGCTCAGATGAGCCATGAGCTCGTGGGTCGAGTCGAGCTCGCCCAAATTCAACGAGCTAAGCCCAAGCTCGGCTCGTTGAAAACGAGCCACAAGCTCGACTCCCCACGAGCGTGAGTTGAGCACTAGCTCGGCCCATTGCCACCACTAAGCAGTGGTGGATCCAGAATATTGTGTTAGCTAGGGTGGCTGTTGACCGTTGTCGGTTACAATAATAAAATTGTTTATTAATATTTAATTAATTAATATTAAAAAATATTCAATCAATGTATAAATATACTAAAACGTAAAAGTCATATACATTCAAAAATTTAATCCAAGACAACCCAAAACAAATTTTGCAATCATATATGCACGATCAAGTTTAAATATTTTTATGAACTTAAGAAAGATAAGATGAAATTTATACGTAAAGCATGATTAAACAGTAAAGACAAGCTCCAAGTTTAGGCGAAAGTTATGTAAAATTTTGAAAATAATGATTTTTAAAATTAGGATAATTTTTAATCTCAAAAGAAAAAATGTTTTTCAAACTCTTAAAATAATAAAAAGCAACACTTAAATTGTCCAAATTTAAATTTTATAAAATAAATTGATAAAACCTAACAATAAAAGTACATACATGATATATATTATGAAGTAATAATTTTAGTCAATAAAATTTTTAAAGAAATTATTTCAAGAACAAAAACTAAAACTTAAAAGTCATATACCTTTAAATATGTAATCCAATACAACCCAAAACAATGAGGAAAAAAAATACATTTTGCAATCATATATGCACGATCAAGTTTCAAAATCGATGAAGTTCATACGTAAAGCATGATTAAACGATAAAGACAAGCTTTGGGCTTAGGCAAATGTTATTCAAAATTTTGAAAATAATGATTTGTAGAATTAGAATAATTTTTAATCTCAAAAGAAAACATATTTTTCGAACTCTTAAAAAAACAAAAACATCACTTAGATTGTCCAAATTTGAATTTTATAAAATAAATTGATAAAACCTAACAACAAAAGAATATATATTATGAAATAATAATTTGAGTAAATAAAGTTTTTAAAGAAATTATTTTGAAAATGAAAACTAATAATATATAATTGTTTAGTCATTTTTTATTGTATTAAACAATTAAACAAAAAAGTGGGAATGTTATCGAAAGGAATCGAACACGCGTATCATTGCATGGAAGAGTGAACAAATATGCACAAGATTTGCAAACCATACTGACTAATCTTTACACAATGAGCTCTTCTACACTGACGAGAGTTTAGGTGGCTCAGCCTCAGCCTCAGCCTCAGCCCTTGATCTGAAGTTTTTGAAATTCAAATTAGGGGCTCAGGCCATCTCAGTCTCAGCCCCTTTCAACACAGCCTATCATCAGGCCCTATTCGTTTAGAATTTTTCTTACATAACAACATATATATTAATATTTAATAAATCCACCCATGCTGGATCCACCTCTACGAATAAGGCAACTTTAAAGAATTCGATAAAGTAGTACATTTGTAAGAGTAGATTTTGCTATCCACTCTCTATTTTTGTTTTATATTAAATGCATTTAATTAACTTCCTATATTGTCTAAACAAACTGGAATATTATACACCTTAGCACCTCATTTGGTTGTTAAAAAACGAGGATGGAAAAAAAAAATATCGGAAAAAATGAAGCCTAAATTAAGGATATTGTTGGGTGTATATGCTATTTGACAATAAAGACGTTTTCATAATGGGGTAATTGACACAAAACGTCCATACTTTTCAAATTAATTATGAAAAATGTTCATACCTTTCATTTTTTGGCATTTTCGCTCATACTTTCTACCTTCTTTGCGCTGAACGTCATTTTCATTCATTTTTGACAATTTTACTCTCTTATAGAAATAAAACAAAATTAAAAAAAAAAATAGAGAACTAATTGCAATCATGGTCCCAAATATTTAAAAAATTACAAATGAGTTACAAATTTTCAAAAAATTACAAATTGCAACCACGCAACCACTTTTACATTGGCTTCACCATCAATTGCGATACTTCTTGTCGCTGCGGAACACTCGGCTTCGATGTACCTCCCTTAGTAAAATTGTTTTACTATAGATATAATCCCAGTTCTTTATAGAGGGGAAATGACAGAACTTACAACCGAATAAGGTAGGGACTAAACAGTTTGGTTGGTTGAAGAATGGTCAAGAACTTACAACCCAATAAGGCAGGGACTCCCTAATATCATGTGCCACTCCAAGAACGGTCAACTGTTGATGGTTGAATTCGAGAACTGATTTCAATGAAGAAGAGTATAGGCACTCCCTGCTGCTATTTCTACCCAAACTGTAGCGCCTAAACCTACTGATGGTGGCATGCTCCTTGCTTTCAGCGACACCATTCTTTTGGGAAGATTCTTTGATAGAAATTCTTCTTGTTACTTAACTCAACACTGAAGTAAAGGGTTTGCACATGAAGATTCTTTGAAAAGGTATAAACAAAAAGAAGAGCGTGCCTATACCTTTTGAAGAGAGTGTCCCCATTTTTTTTTGAAAATTTGGGACCATGGTTGCAATTATTTCTCTATTTTTTCTTTTGTTTTATTTGTATAGGAAGGTAAATTTGTCAAAAATAGATGAAAAATGACGTTCAACACAAAGAAATATGGAAGGTATGGGCGAAAATACCAAAAAATGAAAGGTAATAATGTTTTCCACAATAAACTTAAAATGTAGAGACGTTTTGTGTCAATTACCATTCTCAATGACACCAGGTTGTATTTATTTATTGTGTAATGATATTTTCTAATTCAACAAATAATTATAAATTATTTCAAAATACTAGTATCAATTTTAAAATTAACCGTCAAGCAAATAATTTAGTGTTTTCAAATATTTTAAGATATGCTTGCTTCCTCAAGTATAGTTAGACGACTTATATTTTCATAAAAAACTAATGGAGTTCACGATCCGTTTAAATTATCAGACATCTAATGGAAAGCTCGATAAGTCTGATGAGGTAATTACAAAATACTCTATATGCTTACATGAACTTTATAATTGAAGATTGCAATCTCACACCTTAGCTGAACAGTTATATGAAGTTTTATATACTTCATAAAAATTTAGGGCCTATTTGACGGCCTTTAAAATTTTAAATAATTTGCTATTCATGTAGTAAAATATTTTACACATAAAATAATAAAGTTTCTTTACTTTTTAATCATTCATTCTCTAACATATACTATTCAAAACTTTCTGATTTATCAAATAATAGATGACAAACAGGGCTTAAGGTGCAAGACAAGATATTGTCGAGTGTACATAATAAATGTACATAAAAAATGACATAATGTGATGTGGAGGGAAAATATTAGTTGAAAAAGTTAAGAGTAATGCTATTCGTAATCGCTCATTGCAATAGTCGCCCTACGTGACATACACATGACAGATGATTATTTGATGCATTAATGTGGTAGGTTTTTTATTCATTAATGCATCAAATAACTACCTGTCATGTATATATCACGTAAGACGACTGTCGCATTGAGCGACTACAAATAACATTATTCAAAAATTAATTATATTTTAAACAGACAAATAATAGTGTATCACGTAAGATTACGGACTCTCCAATGTAAATGCTCAAGCACTACTCATTTTATTTTGACTGAAAAAAATGGATTTCAAACTTGGCTGTGCAGCGCCTGTGAGTGCTTACCTGTAATTGCACCTTCTCAGTGGGCGACCTTCGAAATTATTTGGCAGGTAAATCCTTATGCTGGGAAAATTATCCTCCTTCTCCGCGGATTTCTTTCCTCAATTAAACGGATCACATTATTGTCAAATATGAATTCTTGTTGAGGAAAATTAAAACATTCAATTATGCTTCCACGATCCGATTCCCCAAACCCCAATAAATCTGCTCCCCTCCTGTCCTCGCCGCCGGCTCCGCCATTTTCGGATGAAGATTTCTTCTCCACCACCACCTCCGTGGCCTCGGGCTCCAGCTCATCTGACTCCAAGCCGCCTTCCCCGACGCAGTCCCTACCGCCTCAGATCCCCCTCACATGGCCACCGGACGGAGTACTAACCTTATCTTGGGTCACTAACCTGATGCAGGCTTTCGACTGGGCCTCCAAGTCCCTGCCGCCTTCCGAGTTTGCCTCTGTGCTTTCGGTCGAGGTCTTTGATCAACTCGTGCTTACGGCGTCCAAGATTTTGCATAAGGAGCTTAATTGTGTGAAAATTGATTCAGAATCCGGTTTGGGTTCTGATTCCCGAGTTGTAGTAGTTGGTGACGTGCACGGCCAGTTGCATGATGTTCTGTTTTTGTTTAAGAACGCTGGATACCCGGATGAGGATCGGTTTTTTGTGTTCAATGGAGACTATGTGGACAGAGGTGCTTGGGGTCTTGAGGTCTTTCTACTGTTACTGGCGTGGAAGGTAAAAGCTATAAGCTTTATTTCAGTATCTGTAATTATCATCTGGTTTTGATCTAAATAACTTCCCTTTTGGAGTGTAAGATAGTGGTTCGAATTTGATCTTTTCTGCTTCTTTAAGTAAAAATAAAAATTTGTTGCGTGGATGAAGATTATGGATGCTTTAGTTCAAAATTGTTAGCTGAATTTGAATTATGTTTCCTTTACTTCCATTAAATACATTTGGTAATAGTGCTTGTTTCAATTATGTGACTTACTGTAAAAACTGAGGTTTGCATTAAATGGTAAAATAAAAATTAAGTTGACTTGTCAGGATCTATCTCTTCTCCCTGTTGAGAAAACCACGCTGCTACTGCACAGTTCTAGAGAGCAAGATTGCTGTAAATGCCAAATACTATTTTAGTTTTTTTGGACACATTTTGATATGCCTGACAAATGCCAGAGCATGGTTGGAGCTGTGGTTGTGCTTGACCCCAGTTGGAAAACATAACAAAACAACAACAAGAACAAGCAGTTAAGCCTTGCTCTATTGAACTGGGGGTTGGTTCTATGAATCCTTTAGTGACATTTGGTTCCATCTACAACTATTTCAACTAAAAAGTTAGTCTTTTGCGTCCATCCTAGGGCATGTTATTTCTAATGTATATCTTCTTCTGGCATTGCATTTATGAATGAGAGCTTATTTATGTCTAAAGATGAACAGATATAGACGGACTTCATGGAAAGTGAAATGTTCCAGTTGCCAATGCATTTTGTTTCTTCTTCTAGTCATTTTTTGGTATTTTAGAGGTGCCTCAGTTTTTTAATATACTTTCATTTATTTATGAGTTAGAGGCATGTCTTTAATTTCCATTTTCTTGAAATCCTGCAATCAGCAGGGTCTTCCAGAATTATTCTTTATTTACTTCTACCTACCTTTTTGATTTTTCCAGATAGTTCAAAATTATGTTATAGTCAGTATGGTTAGTTTTTGGGGGCCAGGGAAAGGTGCCATGTACCAATTGGATAAAAAGATCTTTTGGAGCCTATGGATATGATTGTAATCTTCTTTAGTACACGTCTTACTACGAAGTAGGTACAAAGCTTTGAACTCATGGGAATTTTTGATGATGCTTCTTCTTGTTCTTTTCCTTTTTCCATTGTTTTTCACTAGTTTCAAAACCTCAAAATTAACAAAGCCTACTTACAGTGCTGCTCATTGAATTAACCATAACTTTGTTACTTTCGAATCCCAGAACATTGAACTACATTTTCTGGTACCACAGTAGTCCTGATGAGGATGGTCTCTATTCATGTGTTATTTTACAAGGTTTTAATTATAATCTTGATATTTATTAGATTTCAATTCAGAATTATGGTCCTCCGCTCTTACCACAAGATTGTGTCCATATGGTCAGATAATCTACTTTATCACACAGTTTAAATACACATTCAGAAATAAATGTTTGGAATGTAACTATACTATAATGGAAATGCATATTTTGTAGGTTCTTATGCCTCACAAGGTATATTTGCTTCGTGGAAATCACGAGTCAAAATATTGTACTTCTGTTTATGGATTTGAGAAAGAAGTCTTGACCAAGTATGGAGATAGAGGAAAACATGTCTACAGAAAGTGTTTAGGCTGTTTTGAAGGACTACCTCTTGCTTCCATTATAGCTGGGCGTGTTTATACTGCACATGGTGGGCTTTTTCGTGGCACAGTTGTCACCCCTTCAAAAAGGGCTAAAAGGAAGAATCGTAAAGTAGTTCATAACCCTGAAGCCAATGCTTTAACTCTTGGTTGCCTGGATGAGTTGGCCAAGGCTAGGAGATCTGTCCTTGATCCTCCTTGGGAAGGTTCAAATTTGATTCCTGGTGATGTCCTTTGGTCAGATCCATCAATGATCCCTGGTCTTTCCCCAAATAAAGAGAGGGGCATTGGTTTATTATGGGGTCCAGATTGTACTGAAGAATTTTTGAAGAAGTTTAATTTAAAGGTGAAGACATTCTATCCTTGATGATCTCTCTCATTTTGTATGCCATGTCATATTGCTTTTGCCAGGCCTTCCTATCCTTCTTTTCTTTGTCAACTTAAATTAGAAGGTATGATAGAACTAGCTTAAGTTGTGAGGAAAATGCAACTCAATATCTACTGTATTTTACTGCAGTTTATTGATGCTCCTAACTGTTCGGTTTTAATGATGGCCTCTTTCCTCCAGATGCTGTTCGCAACATCATGACGTAGGATCCAAGAAGAGAATTATACGATAAGGGGAAAGGGAAGAGTGGAGGAAGAGAAAGGAGGGAGATAGAATGAGGGAGGTAACAAGGGGAGGAGAGTTAGACAGACGGAAGGGAAGAGACGAGAGAATTGGGGTAGGAAAATATCAATTATTCATTCATTCAAAGGTTTCTAATTACGTATCATTAGATCCCTATAAATAGTGTTTCAAAAGGCCTATACCATGTAAGAAAATACTATAAAAGGTATTAAATCAAACTATAATAACATTTCCTATAATACGCATTTAAATCTGGAAACTAACAATAATATTCCTGTTAATTCTCCATCACATCATCATATAGGATGTTATGGAAAATAAAGACTTAAAGTTGCAGTTTCCAATTTTTAATTGTTGTATCCTCTTTCGTGGTACAGCTAGTTTATATGAGACCAAATCCTTGCAGACAGCTCTTGTAAAAAATCCTGATCCTCCCTTCTTTTCCATAACCCTTATCCTTCCTCTCTGAAATAACTGCTGGGGGTGGAATAGAAGAGAAAAGCAAGGAAGGATATATGTAGGGTCCCTTTGGAATGCTTCTCACCCTTCTACCTCAATTATTTTAAAGAGCATGTAGAAACTTGCCTTAAATTGTCTTTACATAGAGGATTTTTCATTAAGGATGAAGCCCCGCGCATCGGTTTAACTCACCGATGGATACTGTCTGAGCTTGAATTATAATTTAAGTGATACTCGACCTGGATAAGGGCATGATAAATCTTAAATATTGCCTCAAGCTAAAACTGTAAATTTTTCCCTTTCGATTGCTTGATAAATGAAATTTGATTTGATTTGAATTTGTTCTGTCTGTCTAACACACACACACTTGTTGAAATTGATATGATAGCTTAAACTTTTATTTCTGGTTACCTCAGTTGATCATTAGGTCGCATGAAGGTCCTGATGCAAGGGACAAGCGGCCTGATCTTGGAGGAATGGATGTAGGATATACTATAGATCATATTGTAGAGTCTGGGAAACTCATCACACTATTTAGCGCCCCAGATTATCCACAGTTTCAGGTAGCTTTAAACTCTGTGCATAATATTGAAATTATACTTGGGCCTTGATTGATTCCCATTTTTCTCAAAATACATTTTTCTCTCTTTTCAACCACAAATTCCTCAATAAAATTATATTACACGGAAACCCAAAACTTTCAAGCGGCCTGATCTTGGAGGAATGGATGTAGGATATACTATAGATCATATTGTAGAGTCTGGGAAACTCATCACACTATTTAGCGCCCCAGATTATCCACAGTTTCAGGTAGCTTTAAACTCTGTGCATAATATTGAAATTATACTTGGGCCTTGATTGATTCCCATTTTTCTCAAAATACATTTTTCTCTCTTTTCAACCACAAATTCCTCAATAAAATTATATTACACGGAAACCCAAAACTTTTCCTTATTTTTTAACCACACATTCTCCATCCAATCATTATTCCAAAATGCATTTTTTGCAAAAAAATGGGTATCAAACAGGATCCTATTTGCAAAACTGTGCTGTTTTAATTGCTATTTCTCAGCGAGAGAGAGAGAGAGAGAGAGAGAGAGAGGAGAGAACAAAAATTTGATAAGTATTGGACTTATTGTGAGCATTGCAGGCAACAGAAGAGAGGTACGGAAACAAAGGAGCATATGTTGTTTTGGAACCCCCAGACTTTGACTCCCCAATTTTTCATAGCTTTGAAGCCGTTACTCCAAGACCAAAGGTGATATATCCTACTTGACCTAACAATATGTAAAACAGAAATCTCAAAATCTTATATTAAACTAAGTTACACGTCACATTAAAAAATATGTGGTTGGAGGCTCTTTGGCTTTCTTAGGGGATAGCAACATGTTTGATATTAGTTTCATTTCCTTGTCTTTTTGGTTGAAGACATACAGGTTACTTGATTCATGGATTGTAGTTGTGAAAGCAATATAAAAATTTACCGTTTAAAGTTAAATTAATATTTCTAGATCAATAGAAATAATCGTATCTGAGTAAAAACATGATGTTAAACATTCATGGCAGGTAAATCCTTATTATGATTTTGAAGATGTAATTGATTCCGATGAAGAATTGGACTTGGTGTCGATGGTGCCGGATTCATGATGGAAGTTGCAATGCTGTTCTAAGCAGGCACTTTATACTATTTATTTAACTGAAGTCTTGTATCTGTTTTGGTGCGTGTATTAATCTATACAATATTATGGAGGGCTTCTTTTATTCTCTGTGATAGCCCTTTCCCATTGTTGATTTTTTTTTCACATGGGAAGTTCTGATCAGGGCAGTTTTCGTGTTTTTTAATTAATTGTACATTATATCGCAAGATATTGATTACACAAAACTACTTGAAGTTATGGGAAATATGGTTGAATTGGGTTAAAAATTGGGAAAGTCTGGACAGACTGAGTTGGCAGCATTTGGTAAGGTGTTTTGTTTTTTGTTTTTTTCAAACTACCTATTCATGCTTTGACACGCTGTCCCTTGTATTTGACCTTGTTTTTGTAGCATGTCTCAGAAGTTATTGCTCCAATTTCTGTTTTCATTGGGTTGGTGTAGATTTTCCATGGTTTATATTGGTCTTGTTGAGGGTTGCATAATGTCTCCGGTTCAGTTGTGGCATTAAAGGCATTCCCTGAATGGAAGTATTATCGATTTCTAGAGTCCCCAAACTATCGAGAATAGTAGTGTGGCAAAATAAGAATAAAGTCAGTCAGACAGGCTAAAAAAAAAAAGGAAATCAGAGGACAGATTGATTTGACAGAAATTGGCTGGTTGGATTTTTAAATTTTTTTTTAAAGTGTTCAATCATGTTTCGAAACGTGTCCATCCTATTTTTTTACCTTGTTTTTGACCCTTTTTCTATAGCATTACTGGCAAAAAAATCACATGAATGAATGTGATGCTTTGCATTTTTTATTGTATGCTTCATTTTGTACTTAGATGCAGAGGCGGAATCAAGGGGTCCTAAGGGGTCACGTGACCTCTCAACTTTATTTATTTATTTATGCGGGTGGGATGAATTTTGTTTGGTATCGATTGAAATCTAAATTTTAATCTAAATAAAAGTTAATAATTAATTTTAATAACATATTTCATGGAATCCTTTAACTTTTATCAAAATTTAATAAAAATTTGATTTTAACCCCTTTACCAAAATTTTAACCTTTCTAATTTTTCTACAAATTATCATATCTAATACAATTTTTCACTTTTCAATTAATTAGAATATAAATTTGTATTTTCTCCTTTCATATTTGTATACATGAAATGTGTCTAAATTGATTATATCCAATTTAATTTATATTTAGGGGTTGTTTGAGCTACATTTTTCTAGAAAAATGAATTTTGAAATAGTGTTATGATGGAGAATGTGTGGTTAAAAAGTAATGATATGGGTTTGCGTGTAATATTATTCTATTGAAAAATATGTGGTTGAAATGATATCAAATTATTGTTGAAAAATGTATTTTGATAAAAAAAAAAATGGGGCTCAAACAAGGGCTTAATGAATTGTATTAATTTGATTTAATATTAGTTATATGTTTTTTCTTAAATTGATTGTTTGTATTAAATACACTATAAATTTTTTAAATGTAAATATGAATTTTTTTGTGATGAGTAAAATATTAATAAAATGACTGTTCGAAATCAAATGGATGAAAATGATGAATAAAATATTAATTAATAAAAATTTTTTAAATGTAAATCTACATTTTTTCGCATCAAGTATAAATCATTCAAAAATTAAAAACAAAGTATTTGATTTGTAGCGAGTTTGATTGTATCCTCCTAACTAAATATTTTTATGTCTGCCCCTCTCAAAATGCATCTTGAATTAGAATTCCTAGAATTTGTTTCAATTGTTTAAAAAACAAAAAAAAAACAAAAACCTGGAAAAACAATTCCCACCATTCAAAAAGCTAGAAGAAGCTGATGTAGCAAGAGTTTGGGGAAGACTATTTCCATTGAAAAATTCTACCATCAAACATGTCAAAAAGTGGGAAATGGAATTTAATTTTCATTTTCCATGAAAAATAAGGGCATATCAAATAGGGCCTTAATTCATTCTTCTTGAAAGTGGGGGTTTTTTGATAATTTATTTTTAAGGTAGTCAACAATGGCGATAGCAATGGGATCCATGTGCACTTGCCAACGGTAAAAAAAGTTGTTAAGATGTGATAAAAATTACTCCTACACAGGGGCTAACAATGTTTTGGCATCGGCTTGTCAGTTATAATTGCTTTGAAAAAGAATTGTTGCAATTTTTTGGTTCTTGAAGTTGAGTTCAGATGGTATTGTTAGCAATAGATTGGTGTTAGAATATCAATTTAGGCAGCGCTATGTTATAAGATCATTGAAATGTATTCATTTAGTTATATCCTCCATTTCATGCCACATTAGTGCAATGTACACTAATATTTTAGGAAAAAATTGGTTGTATAAAATTTATTTCATTGAATTCCACCCTAATAGAGACAAGTGTGTGGGTCTCATGCTATATAAAAAATGTCAAAAATGTGTGGGTCTCAGAATTGTGAGTTGTCTGTATATATTCTGTCAAAATTCTTTTTGTACGTGTAGAAGCATTCAATATTTTAGTATCAATAATGATAAATAATGTTACTTCGACAGATCACACTGTTGTCTGTAATTATTTAATTAATAGTTCTTCTTCTAGCTTGCCATTTTTTTGATTTGATGACAACACCGTTCTTTTCTGCTCCCCTCAGACTCCGAAGGGGTACAGATGCAGATTATATATAAAATTATTTTCCTGCAACTATCAAAATCGACAATCTCTCTCCTTTTCTATTATTCTATTTTACTTCTTAAAAGTATAATTTGTTCAAAAAATTGTAATATTATTTGTTACGTTTCTGAAACAAGATAATGGTAATTACGAAAATTACAGATGGGCAAGCAAACAAAAGAAGAAGAAGAAAAAAAGGGGTCTTGAATTGGCGCTTAATGGTAGAGACAAATCTATCCAAATTTCCCATTCCAACAAGCATTCTCCATTGGGTCGGGGGTCGATGTCACAGTAAAAGTCTTGCAGTGCGGCTTGGCATATTCTGTTGTCTCATGTGCTTCTTCTACCTTGTGATAATATTAAAATACAGAGGCTTGGCTTCAGTTACATGATTGCTTATTTTCTCTGTCATTTCAAGGTTGACGTGCTGACGTGCTTTCAGGACCTTGTTGTTCACCACAGAAACAAGATAATGGTAATTACGAAAATTACAGATGGGCAAGCAAACAAAAGAAGAAGAAGAAAAAAAGGGGTCTTGAATTGGCGCTTAATGGTAGAGACAAATCTATCCAAATTTCCCATTCCAACAAGCATTCTCCATTGGGTCGGGGGTCGATGTCACAGTAAAAGTCTTGCAGTGCGGCTTGGCATATTCTGTTGTCTCATGTGCTTCTTCTACCTATGATAATATTAAAATACAGAGGCTTGGCTTCAGTTACATGATTGCTTATTTTCTCTGTCATTTCAAGGTTGACGTGCTGACGTGCTTTCAGGACCTTGTTGTTCACCACACATTTGTGATACTATGTTCCAATAATATGTTCATATCATTACATATAGTCAGAATTCCACAAACTATGTTCACAAATGAACTCTGATTAAATTAAATTTACACCAGTTACACTATCTGTTCTTATCATCCACCTTATACACTGGCTGTTGTCACAATTCCTGCTCTTGAAGTGTTGCTCTTCTTTTCCTTGAACATATTGCAGGGTGCTTTTGGAATTGTAAATTCTGTGAAACAATAATAGTAAAGTAACGATAATATTATGTCCTCTCTTATTTTCCTTCCAGGGAGGCAGGGGGAGAGGGGATTGTTATGGAATTTGTAAAGCTATATGGTAGCTATGACTTAATGGTTGACCACATACTCTGTTTTTATACAAAAATAGGTGTTGTTTATATATTGAAAGGATAAAACAATCCAAAAGGACAGCAACGCAAACTTTCCTTCATAAGAAACTTCAACTTGTCAATGATTGTTTGAAAAAAGCACTTTGGGTATTGCTTGTTCAGTAGGGTAGATTATACGGTGTTGAATAGTATTAAGGAAGAAAAAGAAGCTAAAATCTCTTCCACTGCCATGCTGAGTACTGTGTAGAATAATATTTTATGGGTCAGAGTACTTGACAATAAGGTGTAGACATGAAAATTTATTAAAGGCCTTCCCCGTAAATTCATACAATGATCATAATTCATTAAGTATCTTAGAATATCTTAGAATTTTGAACAAGGCATTTGCAGTTTATGGCCATCTCTAGGTGCTGCAACCTTTAAGTCATAATTCATAAATCCTAATTCTATTAGAGCTTTCATTTGTAGGAATTGGCCTCTAATGATAGAGGAAATTATAGAATTGAAACTCGGTTTCATTTCGCCAAATTCATAAAATTATTCCCGTTGTGACTTGCAGGTGTAAATCTAATTCTGATTTGAATCAGGATCTCCATATTGACCCTAACTGTTCTTGATGTTTCTTGAATTTATCACTTAGTTTGTGGCTCTTTGGCCTGAACAGGTAATTTGGGAAACTTGCCGGTTATTATCATCCCAGCAACCTGTGAAGAAAAAAATAATCCATTTGGAGATTCATCTACTTGCTCTATAAATGGAATGACTTATGTATCCCTCTCTATGTCGGTAATGTACATAATTTATTACTCTACGTACTGGCATAAATGAGCTTAGTTTCACCACATAGATGCTTGTGCTAGTATCTTCACATATTCTCTATCTAGCATCTATATAATTAACACCGGTCCTAAATTGCATTGTATGAGAGCTTCAAACTGTATAAATAATTTCTTTTCTATCTCTATACAGTTCCTGACAACACGGAAAATTAGTTTAATAATTTTTCGTTTTCCTTCTATCTTGTGTTACTTTCTTTTTGCCTTGTCTTCTTGTAGATTGGGGCTGTTTTTGTTTGGTCGTATGTTTATAACATAATAAGAGCATACGGGAGTAAGGATGACGTTGGCACGAAGATAAACTCAACAATTGATGAACATCAGTGTGATAAAAGCTCAGAAATATTCCCAGACAGCAGTAGAGAAGCTCTATTATCGAAGAGTATTCCATGCTATGAGATCCAAGAAGCTCCAGTTGAGCTGCTTCTTGGAAGCTCTGAGGACAAAACTAAGGTTCTCTTTGTCTTTCTTCTTTTCCTTTATTATGTTTATCACACTTTACATGAAATGTAGGCAATGTGGATTTTTCTAATATGCATTCTTCTTTAGTTAGCAAACAACCTCTTAATAGAGGAATCATTTTAATATGTTTTACAAACTCAAAGTTGGAACATTTGTTAGAATGTATGACTTTTTTGTTTGGTACTAAGAGAAACATAGGAAGAGGAAATTTCTTACGTCGTACATCAAAGTACTAGACAAGTAAAGGAGAAAGTCTCATTTTTCTAACTCCAGGACTAAACAAGTAAATGAGAAAGTCTCATTTTTCTAACTCCTTGCTAGACACACGTGGCAACCCTATACATGATAACTTTGGGAGAACATTCATGTATATTTAAGAAATCAACAACTTCTGTTTACCTTTTATTTCAATGTGATTTCTCTTACGAAGTTTGTAAGTATGCCATCAATTTATACCTTTTACAGGTCACAATATTTAAGAAGATAAATCTGCAGGTGAATAAGTTGTTGAGAATTGTTGACCTGACGATCCTTTTGCGACCTCCAACCATTGCAACGGTATTATACAATGCTAAATTTAATTACAGCAGTCACTCCAGTATGATGAGTAAATAGTCATATTACTCTTTTAGTTGAAGAGTTCTATTGCATTAGTCAATAGTTAGCCATTCCGTGAATATTATATTATTGAAGTTGGAAGAAAAAGTAGCAAATAAATGCACAAGACATTTGGTGTGGCTTTACCGTTCTCATGCCCTTGGCCCCACGAAAGAGACTTTTATGAGAAGAGAAAGATTGCTTATAATCTGCATGTTCTCAATTTGTTGTCATTTAAAGTATTAGGAATATCATATGGCCTTGTTATGTTACTTTTTCCGGAAATGTCAGACTGCAAAGACATTTGGTGTGGCTTTTCAGCAAGTACACGCACAGAATATATTTTCATACAATCAATGAACTGCCTTCAAATCCAACTGATATGGTAAGATTCACCCACAGTGCAGATTACTATATGACCATTTAAAATAATTGACCTTTCTGAAGAGATTTTATAATAAGGCTGAAAATCAGTATTAAAAAAAAAAAGCTTGAACCCCAACCTTGAGGGTCCCCACCGTCCCGCCCCTAAAGCTTTGTGAGGGAGGTAAATCGCGGGATATGCCCCAACAGGCCAAGGAATAAGAGTTGCCTGTACATTGCGCCTACAAAGAGTTCAATTCCATGTTTCAGGAATCGAACCCCCACACTGCGGCTGCCAATGAGGGCATTCTAGTTATGTAAGAATGAATATTATTTTGGACAATATTTTAGCTTCTTTTATTCCATAATATTGTAAAGTACTGAACAATCTACCTTATCAAACAAGCTATGAAATTGTATTTCTCATAAACAAATTCCTTAATTCTGGGATAAGGCTATTTGTGCAAGAAAATTTGTTATTAGCTGAAAAATGTCCTAGCCAATCATTATGTTCGGAATTTGAAAGTTTTTGAATATTTGTATACCAGAAAGCTTCAGATTTAGGGCCTGCACTGACACGGACATGTGTATAGTAAACAAACATGTTCAATAAATTTCCGTCATCTACAATCATGGATTATACTTTGCTATTTAAAGCCTCAAAAGTCTGATATCAGGTTCCACAACTCTGGAACGCATCTTGTACATCTAAATACAAAATTTCTTAAGAAAATAGTTTTAAGGTCCTAAATAAGTTGAATCATGCTCACAATATTCTTATGCAAACCATAAAAGTAGTTCAGGTATACCACATCTCCTTCAGCAATCATTGATACGTCTAAATCCAGTTTCAGACTTGTAAAAATAAGCTTCCAGAGTTCTGTAATGCGTCTTAGACCTTTGAATGGACTTTTCCTGGAAATTTATCAAGTCATTTTACCTACTTGACACAGGTAATATAACTTGTGAATATCACAAGTGGTGTGACATTTAAAATTGTTAACATAAGAAATCTAAATCAAAAAGTTATTAAAGCTATTCATATTTATACAGTTGTACAATTATGTGACAGAGGTGCTCCTCCCTGGAACTATTTGGCTAGGTTTCTTACTAATTGTTTCTTCTTTTTGCAGATTATTGGCGTTACCATTGGAGTTGTCACACCAATTCATCGTATTATGGTTGGTGATAATGCTCCTTTGCGTGTGATTGCAAATTCTCTCTCTTTGCTGGGGTATGAATGCTGCTACTATTCATTACTGTTCTGATGCTAGTAGAAATCTTAATTGAGGAATGCATGTTGTTAACCTATGTCTCATTTTCCTTCATAAGATATCATACTGGGACTGAATATATGTCGAAGTTTTGAACAATCAAAATGATGAATGGATATTTTGATAAAAGAATGAGTGCTAACTCAGAGAAAGGGTCCTTTTTATTTTGGTGCCACTGGTCTGGGGAGACTCAAGTGGTGAGGAAAAGAAAAGAATGCTTTTAGATTAGAACACGGTCAAACTCATTATTTTAAGATCAGCTGCAGAAAGGGTAGAATTTAAACTTCTACTTCAAAAATTTTCTAGGAATAGGTCTATTAATGTTTAAATTATCCAGTAAAAGGAATTAAAGCAAAAATACGAAGAGGAAAGAAAATTTATTCAACTATTTTGTCTTTGAATTTCAAAGAGAGAGACGGTATTTTTAAGTTAACAAATAGCTAAAAAAGGATAAATATAGATAACGTACCATAATCTGCCTTATGAATTCTTACCATAATTAGTCCACCTAAGACTTAACATTTTCTGTCTTATACAAAGAAAAGAAAACTGATGAACAGGGATAATCAAATTCAGATATTGTCTGCAACAAGCTAAAGTTTTCCATCTCTGCAACCCATTTATGGGATTTATTGTCGAGGCAATCATGTTACTGCATGAGTCTTGATAGTCATGAAAATGAAATGAAGTCAAAAGGTTCACTTACTTTCGCTGTTTCGTTCCAGGGATGCAGCGATACCATCCATGACTTTGATAATGGGAGCGAATCTTCTTAGAGGTAACTTAACTTTTTTCTAGTTTTCTTGAATTTTTTTAACTTGCTATAGGTAAGTTTTCTTTTTCCGCACCAGACGTGACGAGAAATTTTATTGATTTCTGGTGTTAATATTTCAAAGATCTACTTCCTTTCAGGTTTCAGAAGATCAACATTGAGCTTGTGGCTCATCATAGGGATCACTGTAGTTAGGTTTATTTTCTTGCCTCTTATTGGGGTCCTGATTATTAAAGCTGCACAATTGTTTGGCATGGTGGGATCAGATCCATTATATCACTTTGTTCTTCTGCTTCAGTATGCAGTTCCACCAGCAATGGCCATAGGTAAAAGTCTACCTTTGTTAACATTTATATGATTTGCTTTGTTCAGGATTCACAGTGAGGGAATGGATTTTAGAGTAACGTCCAGATTATAAATCATATAGTAAGGTTCATTCCTGTTAAAAGATTATGACAATGGAACCAATCATTTTCATTTCAGTTCTGATATATCTGTGTCCAAATTTAGGCTCTCTGTAAAATGAGGTGCTGCATTCATAATTCTTAAGGATTTGACTTGTGTAAGAAGAAAACTGCTCTGTATAATTTTGCACTTGGAAATGAAATAGACTGGTTACAAGTAACTGATGACGGAAAACATTAGTCTCCCTGATTTTTTTAGCTCCAGTGCTTAGTCTTCATTTAGACTTGAGTCTGCAGTTTTGACATAACTTTCAAGGTAGAAACTATCAGCTATAGTTTGTAGATGGCAAACTAGTAAAAAGTGAATGGATTACAAGTTTAAAAAATTTGAATTTCTTAGCTCTATTCTGAACGTCAATACTCTGTTGTTCAACAAAATGGACAGGTACAATAACCCAGTTGTTTGAAGTTGGAGAGACTGAGTGCTCAGTTATCATGTTCTGGAATTATATCGTGGCATCAATTGCGCTGACGTTATGGTCAACTTACTACATGTGGATTTTATCTTAAATTCTCTGGTAAACATACCAGAACTTGGCTCAAGTCCCTCGATGTGAAATATTCTTTCTGGAATTTGAATCAAAACTTAATGTATCATGAGTTAATTATAGCAAGTTATGCCACAAGTACCTCTCTCTCTCTCTCTGTATGCACTTTGTGCCACACCCCTCACCCTACGTACCAATGACCAAAATAAATGATGTGCCTAATAGACTTCAACTGTTTCGATGTAAAATTTTTGCAAAAGGTAACGCTGAATTTAACAGGTTTGGTAATGGGAACAACCATTTTGAAATATATCACTTTGTCATTTCAATACATTTAGTTTTCTAATTTCAAGTTTGGACAAGTTTTAGACATAGAATTCTAATTATTTTTGGATAGAAATTTTTTTTTTTTTTTTTTTTAAAAAATTTTTTTTTTTTTTAAAAAAAAAACACCCCCCCCCCCCCCCCCCAAATTTTTTCTTCTTTAATTAACCGTTGAGAAAAAATTCAAAATTTCTGCAAGAAAGTATGTAATGAGATTTTTTTTTTTTTTTGGGTGTTTCAAGGACAAATTTTCCACAAATGTTATTTTGTTTATAAATTACAGTTAATGTTACCTTGGGATCTTGTAGATTGATCGAATAGGGAATAACCTTAGGCCCTGACTGTGATTTTTCAATGAATTTTCAGTCATTTTCTTACCATTGAGTCCAATTACGGGTCTCATCAAAGAAAGAGTCAGTCAAAAATTACGGCCACAACGATAGAAAAATTCATTCTTTTCAGCTAATAATCTGCACCAGACAGAGCCTTAATATGTCATTTATTTTTTTACTTTTGAATTTGAGAATGTGAAATTTGTAGGCATTTTGACACATAGACATTAATGTCTCAATTATCAACTAAAAGGGGCCTAACATATTATTTTGTAGTACTTGTCAAGATTCGATGAGGAAAGATGTACAACATATTTTGCACCGTGTCTGATAAACACCATTAATGGTGTGAATGATTGGATGCTCTCAACATTGGGAGACCCTCGAGGTTACTTTAGTGCCCTTATGACATTATATGAATTTTCCAAAAATTCATGTGATTTGACATTCAACTATCTTTTGGAGGTTTTCAAATATAGTTTTGCTATAGTTAAATCAAGTTTGACATTGTTGTGAGGTGAAAATTTTTTATATATTAATTTTAATATTGTTAAATAATTTATGACACAGATTTTGACATGTCTTAAAATGTCTAACTTAATACATACAAAGTGTATAAGTAGTTTAATTGTTCCAAAGAAAAAGCCTTATGTACAGGATTTTCTTGCCAGAGTGTTTATAGGTATTGCGTTGATAGCACTTGTTTAGTAGTTTTTTTCCCCCTATTTTTTGCCATTGCCCTATGATAAGGTAGCACATTCTCCCGTATAGATTCTGGCAAAGCATGGTTCTTATTCCAAATATAGCTTATTGCTTGAAGTGTGCAATCGATAAGAATTTGCAAGACATGCCAAGAAAAGTGGTCCCCTCATTTTTTCAAAAAACTCATTTTTGACTATACATTCTCCTATAAAATAATTTTACGTGTAAACTCAACTTTTTCTTACGTTTTAACCACACATTCTCTAATAAAACATAATGCAGTTGGAAATCAGCCGTAACTCCTTCTAATTTCAAGAAATCTTTACTGCTTAAAACCTGATATATTCTTGCTCATGTCCACACTTTCGGATAAATTTGACCTGATATGAGCCCAGAAGTCCTTCAAAACTTAACATGAATTTTTCGGACAACGGTACAATTCAGGACCATTCTGCCATCATCGTCAGAGAATGCCTTGCTTTGTGATGCACTACCCTTTGTGCATCGCATCGATTATTCTGCCCCGACTGATGGGGATTTTACAAGATGGAGATTTCAATGACTAGAGGTGACTTATTTAGCAAAAGAGTTCCATTCATCATCAATAAAACTTTATGATTGCTTCATTCAAACTCATACTACCATCAGAATCATTAAATCCAGCTTATACTGCTATGAGCACTATTATATCATTATTTTTTTGCAGCTATATAGAGTAACAGCAATGTAGCTGAGGAACATGGCCCCAACTTAACCTGGATTATTTTTTTTATTTTTTATTTTTTTAAATCTACCTTCGATTGCTGCATTTACAAAATCAACCAATTTAAAGAACTAAGAGAAGTTAGATAAACAAAAAACCAAACTTATTTTACTGCATTACTCACTCTTATTTCCTGTTAAAGATTGGCACGAATCTAGCAACAGGGAATTATCACAATTATAAGACAACTATATGGGAAGCATACTTCTTACAGGGCCGCAAACTCACTCACTCACTCACTCTAAACGTATATTATGTGAATGAGGCAAAAAGCACTAAATTTCTCCCTTTTCCAAAGTGAAAATGGCTTTTTATTTTTTTATTTTTTTCAACATTACGTTGCAGGTCAGGGATATAAAATATTTGACTGGAAAGACCATCATAGTTTCAAAAATATCTTACAGCTCTTTTAAGACTTTGTTTATCTACCATTATACAACATTTTTTCATATATATATATATATTTTTTACAGTACTCATTTTTAACCACATATTCTTCATTAAAATAACATTACGCGTAAATCAAAAAAAATTTCTTCTTTTTTAACCACATATTTGAACATCAATCATTATTCCATGATGAATCATGCTACAAGTATAGAATTTTTTGATAGAAAAATCTTACAGACAATACATGATGCAACATCATTGGAAGATGAAAAAAAAAAATAGTCCACTTTCATTTTGCTATGTCAACATCAGTACAAGTTTTGTTAAATTTTTCCTGTACTTATAGCTTTATTGATTTCATAATACATTACTCACAAATCATGGGGCACAAACACCCCTAAATTACACTTCACTACTTGATCTGTATTGCTACTGGTAGCACTTAATATTTGGCAATGAAAAAATAATTAGAACTTATGTTTGAAGAATCCGAGACAAAATCCCAAAATGATATCAAGCCATTCCTCTATTCAATCATTTTTGCTGTTCTTGACGTAGAATATCTCGTTTGTGCACATCTTATCTTTGTTTAATGTGTCCCATGTGTTCTCGAATTAGAGCTTTAGCTAGAGATGCTTTCGGCTACTGGACTTTTGTTATATAGGGTTCAGCATTCATGCTATTTCGCCTAGCAGCACGATGCTTGTATTGCTATCGGGATGGATAACAAGTAACTAGAGAGCGAGAAAAAAAAAAAGAGAATCACATTTGGAGTAACATAATAAACTAGAATGGCAGTTTTATCGTAGGCCTCATTAGGATCGAAGGCTTTAATGTCCTCTACATACAAATTCACTGGATAATAACCAACGGCATGCATACATATGTACCTGAAAAATCACTTACCACTATTTTTACCCACATTAATACAAGAAAAATTTGAAGAACGCTAGAATTGTGAAAGGTAACCTTGCTAATTTTCATCCCCATTTGCTCGTATTATCCATTGTGTTAGGTTTTATGTAGTTCGCAAATTTGTGAACAAAAGTACTGGAATAAATATGTTGTAAAAAGTCAAGAAGTTAGTTGTAATATTGTATAGTTGAGTTAGGTAGGTTAGAGTTTGAGTTCGAAATAAAGAAAGAAGAGACGTCGCAATTTCGCCAGCCTATCGCCTGGATGTTGCTCGAGTGACAAAAAATAGAAACCCTGTTGCTCGCCTATCGCCCATGTCTCGCTCGAGTGACAATTATATACGGAAAACCCTAATTCACGTTTTTGAAGAGTTTTATGCGGCTCAAGCTACCTAACTACCTTCAACTATAAATACCCAATGCTTTGCACGAAATTTAGGTGGTTGTTCATTGTTTGCCTCTCCACATTATTCCTTGAAGATTCAGTAACACAATCCATTGGTGAGATCATTCAATTCATTCTTGAATTCATACAACCACGTCGGGTAAAAACATCAAATTTATTGAATCCAAAACACCCACTTTTTAAGCACCCTCGGTAATGTACTTTCTCAAATGAACTTCAAAGAGTGCTAAAGACTGAAAGAGGTTGGACTACAAGCACGAGAAGAGTATAAGAATTGGTCATTCTTGGTGATCCACTTGAAGATATAATTGTTGGAGATCGGGAGCTAGTGTTTTAGTAGGATCTTGGAAGTTATAGGAAGTAGATTGGAAAGTCTAGTAGAGTTAGGCAGGCAGCATCTAACTATAAATCCATATTATCTATAGTGAAGGTTTTGGTCCCTAAATTTTTATCCCGTTAGGTTTCTCAATTAACATATCTAGTGTTATTCACTATTTTCTTATTACAAACTGTAGCAATTCAATTTAGGAAATTGGATTGTTTGATTAACCATCTAGAAATAATTAAAATGACTTGTTACTTTTAATTATGTTAATTTCGCACGTAAGGTCAAACTTAATTGATAATTTAGAACCTTTCAAGTGGTATCAGAGCCTAAATTAAATTTATGACCTTAAATTTCTAGATGAGTAGTTCGTTATCCATCCCATCATATTTTGATGGCAGTAATTATGCCTACTAGAATATTAGAATGAGAGCCTTTTTAAAATCTATGGATGAACGCATTTGATTAAGTGTTGTTAATGGCTAAGCTGTCCCCTAGTTCTACGGTTGATGATGTAGTAATCCTTACACCCATTGCAAATTGGACTAAAACAAACTTAGATGAATGTAATTGGAATAGCAAGATTTTGCATGCATTGTTTATGTATGTATCCACCGAAGAGTTTAGGCAAATGTCAATGTGTGAAGTAGCTAAAGAGGTTTGTGATTTTTTACAAACCACATATGAGGAAACGTAAGTTGTTAAGAACTCTAAATTGTAGATGCTAACCAATAGGTTTGAAGAGATTAAAATGAAAGAATGTGTGACCTTTGATGAATTCTATACAAGTCTAAATGACATAGTTAATTCTAACTTCAATCTAGGTAAGAGAAACATGGAGCCTAAGATAGTCAGAAAGATTCTTAGATCCTTACTTGAGCGATTTAGGCCTAATCACGGCTATTGAGGAGAATAAGCATATAGACTCTATTAAGGTAGAAGAGCTGGTTGGATCTCTCCAAACTTATGAACTGACATTATCTAAACTCACAGACGA